ATCCTCGCACTTGACTGGATGGACCTTTCTAGTCACGACTTCTCACTAGAACTCCAGGAAAATTCGTCCGCCATGAAGCAAGTTACTAGCGAGTATCACATTAGATGATATTAGATGGTTGGAGGCAATCGGCCACAGGAAGCCTTGCTTGACCTAGGTTTCGTGCTAGTTGGCACTCACAAGTCAGCAAGGCGTATCTGCAACCTTGAAGGAATTCATGTCCCTTCTGAAGAGATTCGAACCCGCGTCACCCAGTGCCGCCTGAGGTCATAGACGTTACCATTGAGCTATTCGGGACATGAGTTCCTTCAAGATTGCAGATACGCCTTGCTGACTGGTGAGTGCAAACTAGCACGAAACGTAGGTCAAGCAAGGCTTCCAGTGGCCGATTGCCTCCAACCGTCTAATATCATCAAATCAATGTGCACCGTGATGGCGAGCCACGTAGGAAGGTGTAGACTGGCTTCCTCGTTGGAAAATAATAATTAAATATCATGGCCTGTCAAACTATTAACTTTCATTAGTTTGATTGTGTAAGCAGTTGACCAGAGATCCTGACTGATGCAATAAACGATGGATTCCTTGTTTTGTTTTATCCCACTCCATGTGCTGTTAATGTGACGACTGTTTTTTTTTTTGCGAATTCCCTTAATTGTAGATTGATTAGTCATCAAGCCATAAACTAATAATAATGATGATGATTTGAAAGTCAATAAATTTCCAGTTAGAATACTGTTTGTATGTGTGTGGATGTATGTGCATGTATATACTACATATAGGCGTGATAAATTTAAATTTTATTGGACAACTAACATACACATACGCACACAGTATACACACGCGCGAATGCACACGGACACACACTTTCCTACCATAGACAAATACAGACACACAGTGTTCATCTAATGCGATACACACGCACACACAGGAAGGCATATGATACCATTGACAATTTAACAGGTTAACTAACACTTTGATTAACTAGTGTAACTATAACACATTTGTTAAAATATTACTATACTATTTTCGCGCGCGCACATTTATCGCGGTTAACATAAATTTTTAAAGTAGAGATTACCTTTGAAAATAAAAAGAAGAGGTGAGAAATGATTAGATAGATTAATTGAATGACAGTATTATTTACAACTGTAAGAAAAAGAAAATGACCTGAGAAAAAATATTTTTTAAAAAAGGAAACGAAGAATTTAGAGCATTAATAAAAATTAGATGTGTTGTTCAGTAATTAGACGAGGAGATTATTATGGATGGTGTATCTCGGTGCCTCTCCCCGCTCCACACACACACCCTCACGAAAGAAAAACACCACCTTTTCTCTGCTTGTCTCCATCCTCCTTTAGGGGGGGGGGGGGGAAGAAAATGCGTTTTAAATCTTAATAATTGGTTTTTATGGAATAGAATAGGAGAGAAGTTATAAAATATGAATAAAAGTAATAGCTGTCAAACATTTAATTTAAATATATATAAACATAATTTCAAATTTGATTACCGACTGATGTCAGTTAGAGAACCACTAGGGAGTATTAGACTGATATGTTTCGTCTTAGACCGGGGCCCCTCATCGGCACGCTTCCACGCCCCGCCCCACCCATGGACACTAAATCCGGGAGCTGCAGGTTACGGAAGCCAATGTTGTCCAGTCCATGACTTCTGACTTCTATAAATTGACTGTTTTTGCGTAATCGCCAGCTAATGTCATCCGAGAATATCTTGGCGGACACCGATGGTCACAACTTCGCCCTGTAGCCAGTCATAAGGGAGCATCAGAGCATTGGATTAGTCACTTCTCAAACGGTTAGTATAAAATCTCTTGCTACGACCTGCATTTTTACCCCAACCTTTAAATGCCACCCTCCATACATACGCATAAGAGAATATAACTGTAAAAGAGTAGGCATTTTGAAAGGGACATTAAATCTCTGGGAAAGATTAAGTGAGTATAATAGTTACAGAAACACAGACATGGTAAGCTTTTGTCTCCACTTACTTGAATGGGTAGAATGTGTGTGGGTGGAGAGGCTTCAACCTCAAGTCTCCATTGCGTTCAGTTCTCCGACAACGTTTTCACCTGGCTCCATGTCTCCCCACATGCTTTTATCTCCTCTCCGCGTGGCCACCTCCATATCACCTCCGTAGTGACAGCCAACTGACTTGTCGCTTCCTTTTCGGGTTCGTCTCTACCGAAGGCCTGGTGTGTGATGTCCCTCACTTGATGGTTTTCTCAAAGTATGGCCTCCAATCCACCTCCATTTCTTCCTGCTGGGTTGGTTCGTTTATTGCCAGAGATCTCTCCCTGTTGCTGACCTTTTCTGACCGGCCATCTGATCTTGAGTGGCACTGAGCGAAGAGAGCCGTTGATGAAGGTCTGCAGTTTGTCTGAGGTGCTCTTCATGACACACCAAGTCTCTGATCCGTATAGTAAGTGCCACTGACTTGACATTGGAGTTAGTAATCCTCACCCTGTTTTCCATGCTGAGTAGTGCTGTTGATCTCCTCCACACAGACTTGAGAGTAGTGAAAGCTTGTCTTGCTTTCCCAATCCTCACTGCTTCGATATCCTCATCAGTTCTGCCCGCCTGTAGTTGAAACGATGCTTCCCAGGTAGGTAGGTAGGTAGGTAGGTAGGTCGGTCGGTCGGTCGGTAGGTAGGTAGGTAGGTAGGTAGGTGGGTGAAGGAGGTTGCTTCTTCCACATTTCTCCCATATATGCTGAGTGTTGTCAATTCACTTCATAGTTGGCTTGTGGTGAGAGCTGGCTGCTAGCCAAAGTTGGTAGACAGTAATTGACGTCAATGTTTATGTCCCCAATATTAATGGTGAGAAAATGAGAACAAAGGCTTTGCGTAGGCGGATACAGTTAGCATATGGATGATCTGACACAGCCAGCCACAAAGAGTTGCAAGGTTAACTTTCTGTGAGAAACAACCGCCGATCAAAAGACTGTATTTTCTACTAACAATAATCTACAATAATGTACATTAAAATCTATAAATATGTGTTGATTTTCTTTAATAAACGATCTGTTGCCTGTCCCTTGTCTTCTGTTGTTACAGGTTCTATATAAATTTTCATTTATATTATTTTAGGCAGTAAGTCAATTTTTATGCTGTGCAACTTAAACACGTAGATATTGATCAGCATTCATGTCATACTAAAGTGAATGATTTGTGTGAAATTTAATAATTTACTGGTGTTGTGGCGTCTACTACTGACAAGATTTACCAGTAGTATATGAGGAGACGTTCATTGGCATAAAAATGTCAAACAGCACAGAGATAGATTTTACATCAAAAAGGGGAAATGGACCAGTAAATTGTGGCGGTAAAACATATGTGCGATGGTGCCACAGCGGTTGGGTCTATCGCCAACCATGCGCATCGTTCGGGGTTGGATCCCCTGCCAACGTACACCTGATATCAGTGAGCGGGCTGCAAAATTTGGGCTACCAATATCACATGCTGAAAATTCCATACTTCTACCAAAATACTGTGTGGAATCAAGCTACAATCCTGACAAATTTATCAAGAAATACATGACAAAGAAAGCGGAAAAGGACTACTCACTATCCGTAAACAAGAAGCTTCTTTATATACGACTGCAATTCAAGGGCGATATACCAAGTGAAATAATTAAGAAAAAATTAAGAAAATCAGTTCAAAGAACTTTTAATGCTGGCGAACTACATGTCTTATTCTCTACACGACCGATGGTGATTCCTCGATTGAAAGATGAAGTACCTAGACTAGCCAGCCACTTCCAATTGTATCGACCAATTCAACTGCGTCTGTAGTGGAGTGAGTTACATCGGCCGTTGCTCTAGGAACTCGGTATATATATATATATATATGTAAGAGAACATAACTGTGAAATAGAACGCATTTTGAAAGGGACAGTAAATCTCTGGGAAAGATTAAGTGAGTATAATAGTTACAGCAACACAAACTTGGTAAGCTTTTGTCTCCGCTTACTTGAATGGGTAGAAGGTGTGTGGGTGGAGGGCGGTTAGTGGCGTTTCGAATTTCTTCAGGTAGTTTGCTTTATGTGATTTTGTAGGACTGGTGTAATCATCATATAAGGTGTTATATTTAGTAGTGATAGCAGTACGCACCCACCGGGGTAAGAGCCCAGGACCTGCTATCTCGAAGATCATTGAGTCTTTGGGACCATTAATGTTCGGGATAAAGTGTTTATTATTACATATACTGTTATTGTATGCATATATTGATTGATTATTTTTGTTTAAAATGAACTCGCTGTGTAAGTATGTTAAAATTGTTTCTGTAGATTTACTTAATAGTGACTGTGGCCTGTAAGCAGCTGATGAGAAGCCAACGAAATAAACATAGGATGGTACCATTTTATTCTACAAAAACTGCTGTTTTTCTTGCTTTATTCAGAAAAAAAATTAGTAAAAGTCGGTGACTCAAAGATAGAGTGTTCACTGGTCATACAGACAGTCTACGTCCGAATCCTGGTCATCATACTGCAAAATCTCGTTTAGCCTGTAGTAATACAGGAAAGGTGGAGGGGAGAAATGTTGAGCGTGAGGCTAGTAAACCCATTCCTCTAAAAGAAAACCAACAGCACCTCTGTTGAAAACTCCTAAGCCCAAATTTGAAGCCCCCTGTTCTACTGGGAAGTGGTGAACGTCCTCGCCAAAAACCAACTAGCTAACGGAGACATCAAATCACATCTGTCCAACTATACTTTATCCAATCGATAAACAACCCATTTATGAAATTAAGGAACAAATTGAAATGTACATCTTTATATATTTCCAAATTGTCATCCTATTTGGTACATTTATATTCACATTTTTTTAAATTTAGAAAAATGTATTTTGTATTGTAAAATATAACTACAGAAATGCTTCATTTTTGTCATATTCGACTTCACTACTACTAGTACTGCTACTACTACTACTAATTCCGGATATAAGTAGTACATTTGTTGTATGAGTGAATTTGTCACTGAGCATTCGGTTTATTCAACTATTGACGGTTGAACAGGATCTACATGACGAGGCTGAAGATGCTGATGATGGTGGTGGTGACGTTGATCCTCAAGGTAATGATGACGTAAGCGTTCCACTGTCTTCATCCAACTGGATATATCTGTACAATTCATCTTCATCACTGGTGATGAAGAAGACATATCACCGAAACGATTTAACTGATCTTGTACTTCAGCGCACAATGTTCTCTTAGCCATCTCTAGCGTTGAAGACTGCTGTGATGTCAGCAATGATGGTATCAGATATGGTAAGGATAAATTCTCCTTGACATTTAAATATTTCATTCCAGTGCCTGATTTGTATTCATTCAAATTTTCACTTGTCATCTGATTGCATCTCTGATTATCATGATGATGCTGGCTTGCTACGGGATTATTATTATTATTATGACCGATATCTGAGTATTCATTTGATGCGATTGAATTCAACTGAGATAGTTTGGTGAGTAAGTGAGGTGTTTCGTTGAAATGAAATATCTCTTTTTTAACATTATGATTTACTGGACTGTTCGATTCTTCCTGGTTATATCGCTGTTGCTGCTGCTGTTGATGCTGTCGAAGATGAGGATTGAATTCGCTTATATTGAATTTTGTAATTTGTTCAGGAAATGAATATGGCTGATTATTATTATTATTATTTAAATTTGAATATTGATGATGGTTATGCTGATGACCTTGAATTGAATTATCCGCCAATGAATTCAATGGGTTCACTAGCTGATTGGTCAACCGTTTCTTAGTTTTATATCGTCTATTCTGAAACCAGATTTTCACCTAAGTGTATAAAAATCAATAGAAAAAAAGATTATTACTTGTTAGTAAATAAAATTTCGTATAACAATAATAATAATTTGCTTTATTCCAGAAACAGTACTAGTTGTTCCATTATGGGTAAATTTTACTTTTATAAAGTCTCACAGTGTTATTCAGCAATGTTTACTGATGACGTTTCGAGCACAATTTATTGCTGCTCATAATCATATCAAGGTAATCACACGACTTCCTAAATTCATTTATATAGTTCCATTGTTTTTCACTTGATTTGATTGGTAGTAACATTTTCGATATTTCGGGTATGAGTGATGATTCATTCCTATTGCATGTGTTGGGTGTAGATTCGATGAACAAGGATTCAGTAATCAATCTCTCTCTCCATCTACCTATATTACTTCTTAGAATTTTAATCCTCTCCCACCCTATTGTGTGATTGTGTGCTAATGCATGCATGCATTGCAATTGCTGAGCTTTTTTCTAAATTACTTATCTTCTCGGGGTCAACCATTCTTACCTTAGCTAATTCTTATGTTCTGACAATCTGACTACCCCTGACCTACTAGTTTGACCTATGTAGTTGACCTCCCTCACAGTCATTGAAAGGTATTTTGTGAATTATGTTATTTTGTCTTGTTGGGTCAAAGTTCAGGAAGCTTCAACTTACAGAGCTTGTCCTGTCTGAGTGAGTTTGTAGGTTTGAATGCCACCCAAATTCCTGCTTTATTAAGAATCCTACGTAGGGTCTCAGATGTCCACTCTTTATACGGTATAGCTGTAGATGACTTATATTCTCCCTTATTTATGTTATTATTACTAGTTTCACAATTATTTTTATTTTGCTTTTGGTCTTTTGTGATCTTCGTAATGAATTTTATAGGGTAGTTATTTAACACCAACGCCTCTTCTATCTGTTTTATTTCATCATTTAGGTCTTTTTTGTGCTACTTAGTGCTATTCCTCGGTTTGTTAAACACTTGACTAAGCCTGCCTTAACAGTTAACGGATGAGATGAATTAAAGTCTAAATATCTATTAGGATGCGTTGGTTTTTTATTCTTATATCAATAGTACTAGTGGTACGGTGTGGAATTTCAGCACATATCTACAATATTTGCATCTAATTTTATCAAACACCTGAAAGGAGTATTTCAAAAAATAAATAAATATAAAGACAACAACAGCAAAAAAACAAGCACAAAAATCACAAAAATAATAAAAAAGAATGCGAAAAATTACCAAGAAGTAGAAAGGAAAATAAACAGCATATAATAATATCTCAGTATTGGGTAGTGGAAGCTATGATATGATTCTACATGGTGACAGTAAAGCTTTAGTCATACAAGAAGTTATGAAATGATATTTAAGAATGTTTATCGCCAAGAAGATCAGTTAATTTGGTTGAAACAACACTAACCAATCATAAAATAACATTTCAGGGTTGTTGTTTTGTTTGTTATTGTCAGGTCTAATGCAGTGTTTGTAGTAGTAGTGTGAGTAATCCTGAATAATACAAAAATTTTTAAGGTGGTGACTATGGCGTTTACAACCAATGATTGCCAGTTTAATATTGCCGAAAAGTATAGAAAATAAGAAAAAACAACCACAAAACTAGTAATCACATGATGGTTAATGACAGGACAATTTTGCACTACTTATAGAGCTAATATAGTCGGAACCAGTAGATACACAAAAGAAGGAAATACAGTAAAGTACAAAAAAGTAAGCCAATGTTAATAATTTAGGTAGCTAAGTATGTTTAAGAAGGTGTTCACTATAGAATACAAAATAAGAGAGAAATAAAAGAGCCTAAAATTATGATTATTAACAACAAAGCAAGTCATAGGTTTCGCGCTTAACATTGTCTCTGTCACTTAGAACACGGGCCAAGTATCTACAGAATTGCATAAGTTATATTTCTTAATCAATAATAGTAAAATTTCCAAGAGGTAGTTTTGTTTTCCCATGGATCGATATATCAGTTAGAGAACTATTGAAAACCTAGTTTAAGAGTGACTTGTCGACAGTTTCCCCCCCCCACCGCTAAGCCTCGAACCCAGGACCTTCCAGTTACAAGGAAACAGCTCTTAGACTATTCTGCCACTGGGATCCGACTCAACGGCAAGCCCATGAATTCTAATTTCTAAAAATTTGGGATTTTAGTGTGACTTGCACCAGTCACCGTTATCGTTGGCGAGTATTCATCCTTACTCCCTACCAAGTGAACCTCACTGGTCATGACCACTTCTCACTAGAACTCCAGGCCATTTCTTCCTTTACGCAGTCACTATCGAGTCTCTGATTAATTCTGAAGAGTTAATTTGTGTGTGTGTGTGTGTGGGGGGGATTTAATCTATATTTCAAGGTTGACAACCGATTGATATCGCCCATGAAGAAGTTGGCTGATGCGAGTTCAGTTCAAATCACAAAATGGTAGAAGTTCGAATACATGGTCTGGCGATTGAATCGGGTCCCAGTAGATAAAAATATGGTCTAAGAGCTAGCTTCCCTTGTAACCGGAAAGTTCTGGTCTCGAACCCTGGTGGTGGTGAGCGTGTACTGTCGATGAGTCAGTCGTTAACTAGGCTGACAGCAACACCTGTTCAGTAGTCTCTCGTTTTTCAATAGTTCTCTGTGATTAAACACTTCAAGTAACTGGAATTGTGAATAATAATAATAACTAAAAGTGTCCTTGTGTAAGTGAGTTAGAACATAAGTCTTCTTTTTCCTTCACGTTCCCCAGTGGAACATAAGGCTTCAAGCTAGTGGCTTGAAGTCTCTGTAGCAGTGTTTATTTTACAGGATGAGGTTGCTAGCCTCATGCCCAACCTTTCCTCTCCACCAGTCCTATTTTTGACTTAGAGAGGTAAAGGAGTGCGTCGGCTGGGGATCGAACCCCGGACCATGTGCATGGTCGACGAGCGTCCTAACCGCTATGCCACCGACGCACTGAACTTAAGTCTTACTGATCAATTATACCTTAAACGAATTCTTAATGTCTGTCCAAATTTACTTGCTCATGGAAATTCTGTTTTCATAGGTGTAAATACAAACACCCATCCATCCAGCTGATGAGTCCAAAGGTAAGAGGGAAAGATGTAACCTGAATTCCAGTACTATTCATCACCATCATCAACTGAAATAACTGAAGTCCTATCTCCCGTGTTAAGTGGTATAATAGGGTGAGTAATATTGAGGTTAGGCATCGGTCGAGTGCTAGGCAGGTGGGAGAGGAAATCAATCAACGAAGCTGTGAAGTTACATCGACTGAGATGGTTAGGACATGTGTTACGCACCGCCTTCTTCGACGAGCAGTGTTAACTAACATAGGGTCAAGTTGGAAAAGAGTCAGTGGTGGTCAAACCAAAACATCGCTTCATCAGTCAATGAAATCCACAACAGTTAGTTTAAGCCAGTCACGTAAGAAGGGAGGTGTTGACTTCCTGACTGGTTGGAGTCCTTGGGACGGTAAACAGCAATGAAGGCTGGAGACAATTGGTGATATGGCTCAAAATCCTCGTTCTCAATGGCTGGCGCAGATGCATCCACTCCTTGTCACTTATAATACCCAATGAAACTATATTGTTCTTCGTTATAACTATTCCTTTTGTCTCATATCCCTGTCTACTGTCTCTATTTTATGCATTTCTTCTACTTTCTTCTCTTGCTTTGTGTGCTACAAGGAGGGAGTGTGGTGACTACAACTGCTGCACATCTGTGCAAAGTTCTATGTTGAAAACAGACAGACAGATAGACAGACAGAAGTAACACAATGTAAACCATTAGACATCAGAGAAGCGTCCGTACTACGAGTCGATATGTCGAAATACATTGAGTATTACTGTCCAAAATAAATCAGTCCGTAGGAGAGATTCAAATTAACTAAACCGAAAAAACTCACACATTTATAATTCCATCAATCAGTCACTATAGACCTCTATCATAATATAGAGATTCCTGGGCAACACCACCAACAGCAACAACAACAACAGACAATAATCAGCAGAAATGGAAGGAACCTGGAAGAAACAACCTCTTTTACCTACCTACCTAGGAAGCATCGTTTCGACTACAGGCGGATGGAACTGACGAGAATGTCAAAGCAAGAATCGGAAAAGCAAGACAAGCTTTCATTACTCTCAAGTCTGTGTGGAGGTCAACAACACTCAGCATGAAAATGAAAATAAGATCCGGATTTTCAACTCCAATGTGAAGTCAGTCAGTGCTACTATACGGATCAGAGACTTGGCGCGTCATGAAGAGAACTTCAAACAAACTACAGACCTTCATTAACAGCCAGTTGTCTTCGCTCACTACTACTCAAGATCAGATGGCCGGTCAGAAAAGATCAGCAACAGAGAGGGATCTCTGGCAATGAGCGAACCAACACAGCAGGAACCGATTGTGAAACAAATAGGCAGGAAGAAATAGAGGTGGAGTGGCTTGTCATACTCTGAGGAAACAAACCATCAAGTGACATCACTAGACAAGCCATTGCTCGAGTGGAACCCGGCCGAAAGGGAAGCGGCGAGTTGGTTGTCAGTGCAAAGGTGACTTGGGGGGGGGGTCATGTGAAGAGGAGATGAATACGTGTGGGCAGACTTGGAGCCAAGTGAAAAGTTTAGCAGAGAACCGAACGCAATGGAGACGTTCGCGGCTTAAGCCCTATGTTCCTCTAGGAATTAAAGGAGACAATAATAATAATATGGAGATATATTAAGAACTAGAGATATACAATTTTTGGAGTAGTATTTTGATGTGGTTGTGTTCTCTGAGCTAGCTGGATAGTTAATTTGCGAAGGGGACGTCCCTTGCGTCTTCGTATCCATGAATATAAGCTAGCCGTCAAAAGACATAACATCCACTCCCTCATATCACTCACTGCAAGCAGACAACCACGGACATCAATTCGACTGGGACAACCAACGTTCAAACATTAGACGGAGGAAACACCAAGAATGCTAGCCAGAGAATTTTTAGAAACCCTCTTGGTATTCCAGTGAA